TGGGGTCTATTCACAAAGCTGCTGAAGGATCTGGCCGTAGCTTCGGCCGATCCTTCGGCTAGCTTCGGCCCCAGGAGAACCGAGGGGGTGCTGTACGGGCTATTCACAATTCACATATGCCTCGGCTCGGCTGCTGTAAACTCAGCAGTTTTGCCATTGAAATGCTGGGCATAGAGGTAGCTTAGGGGACATTTTTTCTTCTCCTCCAGCAACTGCAGAAGAGGCACCTGCCTGGTCAAGGATGCTACTAGGGGTGGGGTTAGGAGACTTACTGCATGATTCAAACCTGGGCTTGACCCTGCTCAGTGTGGCCTCATGCTGACCCTCTTCCCCACTTAATGTGGTGTAAGGTAAGCCTCTCAAAACCCTTGTCAGACTTCCCTCTCTTGTAGCCACTGATTTCTTCTTTAGCATTAAATATCCTTTTAGTTTACAGAAGGGGTTGGTTGGTCCCTTTATAATCCTTAACCAGCAAAGCATCTCGTCTTACAGTGCAACTGATCACAAAGAACAAACATCACATTATTTATTTATCACATTCTTTATACCTGTTATATGTTTTCACCCTGTTGCTCAGTAACACAAGATTTAATATTTAGTGTATGACATATGCTTCAGCAGGTGTTGTATATTTTCCTTTTACAATTTAAATAATACATTTGGGCAACAAATACAAAGCAGTACAAAGGGCTTGTTTACACCACTGACAGTATGTTCCAGAGGGGTTAGCTGCTGGAACCCACTGCACCGCATACTAAACTCCCTCCTGCGTTCTGGGGCGGGAGGGGGCGTGGTGGTGCATTGAAGTCAATAGCACCATAGTGCGATCACCTGCATCAGAAGGCATGGCACATCAATGCCTGCGTTCCGGTCCAGTGCAATCAAAAAAATTGTGCATTTGCACTAAACAAGTGTCAATGGGGGCTTAAATATATAGGGACATATTTATCTAGAGGCATTATTATACAGTAAATCAGTAAATGTGACATTCACTAAACTTTCAGTAGTGATGAAACAGTCAATGAATATAATTTAAGACCACAGGTACAGGGTGTTTGCAATACCTCTACACCAGAAACAGATAGGAATATAGTAATAAATGTGCTAAAATCAAAAGTAAAGGCCCCATTCACACTTGTAAATGTGACATTCACTAAACTTTCAGTAGTGATGAAACAGTCAATGAATATAATTTAAGACCACAGGTACAGGGTGTTTGCAATACCTCTACACCAGAAACAGATAGGAATATAGTAATAAATGTGCTAAAATGAAAAGTAAATGCCCCATTCACACTTGCAAATGGGTTCAGATCGCATAAGTCTCCTGAATTCCTCTGTAAGACTCATGTGATCTGCTGCAGGCAGAAAGAGCTGTACAATACAATGGAAGCGGCCCACTGCCGGCAGCTTTTTGCACAAATCACATAAATGCACAAATCACATAAATGCACAAATCCGACCTGGACACAGACTGTTTGAGTTCAGGTGCGATCATCTACACCGTCGGTAGCTGCAGGCTGTGCACTGGGAAAAGGAAAGAAAGAATGCACTCTTTGCTGTAGAGTGTACAGCACCTCACATCAGTCTCGTGGGGGATTTTGTGAGACTCATGCTATCCAGCCATATTTGCAAGTGTGAATGGGCCACAGAATTCTAAGATCCTTGCAAGATAAAAAAAAAATCAGTTTAATGACTTAATTATTTTATATGCAACTGATGCGTACCTTTATTTTAGTTGATTTATCAGTCTTTTATGTATTCTGCATAGTGAGTGATAAATACGTTTTACATTATCTGGAAATGGGTTTTACCTGTGTGAATCCATTGAAAGCACCACTGGATGCCTTAAAGAAATGGAAAAGCACAACATTAACATTTAATATTGTCATTGATGAAATATCATGAAGAGGTTTAAGGAGAGAGGATGCCAGTTATGTCAGTCACAAGCGGATTCTATATCTAAAGGTTCTAATGGGAATGCATTAGGAATTAAGAACATCAAAGTCTGCATGAAGACTCAACAAAGAACTGCAGGTAATTACATCATCTATGCAGCTTCAAAACTATTTTCATTTAAAATTGAACCTAAAATGTACCTCTTTTGTTAAAAAAATGTATGTATTGCTAAAGCTAAAGACTTACAGTCCTACAACAATGTAAACATTTCTTTTTGTAGATATAGACTGATCTTTACATTTGACTAAATATAATGTTTTGTCAATAGGTATTTAAATCAGGGGTCTCAAACTCAATTCACTTGGGGGCCACTCGACACATTTTTTTCTCCCATGGGGGCTGCTTGCCAATAAAATTTAACTATATCTGATATGGTACTACGGACACTAATATACTCACAATAAGGCCCCATTCATATCTGTAAGTTTAGGTGCGATTGGGGATTCCTGGGTCAGGAACTTTCATTTTCCTGCAACCGCACAGTCGATGCGTCCAGGGATAGTGATTGATTCCTAACCACATGTAATCATATCACATACTATAACATGCAGTGTGCAGGCATTTACATGCAGCAGTTGTCACCTGATCATTAACTTGAATGGGTGACAGCTGCCGCTTCTCAACACCAGATTAGGGATGTCTGCTGCAAGTTCCTGATGCAGGAATCCCTAAACGCACCTAAACTTACAGATGTGAATGGAGCCTAATACACTCCCCCCATACACATAAAAAAAATACTACCCCTGCACATATAAAAAAATATACTTCCCCATACACATAACAAAATACACTACCCTACCCCTGCACATTTAAAATAATACAACCCCCCCCCCCCACACATATAAAATAAAATAAAGAGCCTCCTCTCCTGCTTACCTTTTTGCAGGGAGGAGGCAAGGAGGCACAATCCCTGGTGATCCAGTGGTTGATTAGCAAGGTCTGGTGCAGACCTTGATAATCCATCCTTTCAGTCAGCGTTCACTGAAGGATTTCAGGGAGCTGGCCAAAAGGATCCGAGTGTCGGCACAGAGAATCAGCTATGCGGTCTGAGTCTGACAGAGATGCAGACCGTGAAGCTGCTCCTGCAAGTCAGGTACGTGGTCCGTGACTGTGTTCCTGACTTGTCAGCTGACTGAGGGCCACATACTACTGGCTCGCAGGCCACAATTGGCCGGTGGGCCGGTGCTTTGAGACCCATGATTTAAATAATTATTCCACGTAAACTCCTATGTGATATATTTGTGTGCAATGAATAGCAAAACAAAAAAAAGCTTAGTCATGTGCATAATCTAAGGCTGTTATTAGTCTGAATAGGCCAGGAAAATCAAAGCTGATTTGTCATTGGTTAGAGTGGCTCTTTGTCCCTTTATAAAATAAGCCCACTTGTGTTATGTTTACTCTATATACAGTTTTATTATACTAAGGGAAGTACTGCAATATGCTACAAATGTGGGTCATAGTAAAAAGGGTATAAAGCATAGGGTCCAATATAATGAAGGATCTTTATCTCTAGTAATCTACACACTGGAGAAAGCAGAGATACCTCTTCTTTGTCATGGTCTAGTTCCTGGTAGAGAAATCCATATTTCCGGTTAGCAATTTCATCTTCTGATAAATCTGAGCTGTTGGTCTCATGTTCTCTAGGGCTAGAAGGATGCTCACAGCTAACATTTCTGGAGTTTCTTATGCAAAACATGGCTTGGGGACTAGAACTTGCTTCATTATAATTGCTGCAAGGCTGGTTCACGGACATACTTTGTGTCTCGTTTTCATTTTCAGCCAACATCTGTTCACTTTTATCTAAATTATCAGTGGCTTGTGAAAACCAGACCTCATTCATGCATGCTGAATTTAGATCTGGGATTGAGAATTCATGTGCTTGGCAGTCTCTTAGATAAGACTCACCCCATGAATCTGTAGTACAGCTTGGATCCCAATTTTCTGGCCATATCTTGTCACTATCTATGTCAAGACAACCAATAAATCCAGTGTCTGACATAATTACATCATCTCCTTTAGCTAGTGCATCTCCTTCCTGATCTATAGGATGGTCATTTGTGTTATCACAAGAAAGGTCACTTTTTATATTTTCACCTAATTCTTGAATCATGGTGTTGCAGCTTTCAGTGTGGTCTGCCCTATATTCATCAGTATACACACACACGTTTTCGGTTTCACTAATACACTCTTCAACAAAGGTTTCATTATCCTCCAAATATTCTGTTTTATTTATTTCTGGATGTATCAGCTCATGTCTTTGGTGCTCATCAACCAATGTATCTATTTGACTTTTACATTCCAGAAAACCTACATCAGTTGCATCTTCTGTTCTGGTGTCTGATGATATATATCTAATTTGCCCCACATCATCTTGGACAACATCTGCATCAGTCTTCTCGCTGTCATTAATGGTTTCGCTGTCTGATGTATGATAATCTAGATGCCCGGCCTCCTCAATTTGGACTGCATTGTAGATATCTTCTAGATCAACATCAGATATATTCATGCCTTCAGTCAGGTCATTTTCACATTCATCATAATGTGTTTTTGTCATATATTCTTTTTCAATGTCATTGTCTTCTTGTTTGTGCTGGATATCTTCAAATACACTATCGTCACTCACCAATACCATGTCACAATTTGAAACGTCTTTTATAGATTGTTCATTATCCACATTCTCTTCACTTATCTCTGATGAGAATACTTCCTGTTGACAAACAAAGTCTGTCTGCCCCTCCCAGAAAATGTTTAAATCTTCGTTATCATCCTGCCTGTCTCTATTACTTTCAAGGTCTAATCTACCCAGAGCTACATCATTTTCTGATGTATTTAATTCTTCTCCGGACCCACATGCTGAGGTCTTAGCCATGGCCAGATTACATAATGACAGACTTTTTGAGGTGTCGGGCTTTATGCAGACAAAAAAAAAGGAAATGAGAAAATATGAGAATATTATGGCAATAATGAAAGTATAGAGAAGCATGTTAAACTAAAATAAAATGTGCAGGAAAAAGAACCCAGGGTAACAAATAACATATTCGATATCCACACACTGTGTGCAACATACTTACTGGCTGGACCAGTTCATTGTTTGTCTGCAGAGACAGAAAGAAGCTAGATTAACATTACCGAAGCATGCATTAAAGGGAATTTATCGAAACTGGGGTAGACAAAATCTGATGCAGCTGTTCATGTCAACCAATCAGCTTCTATCTTTCCTTTTCAAATCTTAACTGAACAAACTGAAGAAAGAAGCTGATTGATTACTATGGGCAACTACTCCAGATTCTGTCTGCTCCAGTTTGAAAAAATCCCCCCCACCCACTGTGTTTTATACTTAATTCACATATATGTATTCTAAAGGGAATATTCAGTGTTTAGGCCTGTATTTTCTTATGTATGTATTAGGTTCAGGACTACAAAATATACACCTTTTAAAAATACTTTTTTTTTAAATCAGGTGAATATAAAATACTGCAAGTACATCTCATAATTACCACTTGAAATAAATAATATGAAAACACTTGTATCGAATGTTAATTTGAAACATTTTGATGTTATGAAAAAAATTACATCGTCAATTTTAGAAAATCGCAAGCTATAAAATTACCAAAAGGCAATATAGCTTCTCCTTAAAGTAGAACTGAAACCAAACCTTTTTTTGTTTTGGAACGGAGGATTATAACCCCATGACCTTTTTTTAGTCATCTGTGTCCCATTGAGGAAATTTCTTGTTACTTCCTGCCATAAGCCATAACAGGAAGTGAGAGAAAATCACTCAAAGAGATGGAAATCCCTGATGGTCAAAAGGATAACTAAAACTAGTGCCCCCATTGGAAGATGGCCCATCTAATTTTGTTCTGATGACTACCAAAAATGTGGGATTTTTTTCAGTTTCACTTTTGGTGATAACAGTCACCAGGAGAAATAGAGAGAGCGCATCCCCATAATGAAGACCCAGGCAGTAATAAAAACCTGACAAGTATTCTAATCCCTCTCTACTCTACACAAAACTGGAAAAAAACTGTTTTGGCTTCAGTTGCACTTCTAGTTATGTTTTAGTATGGTCATGTTATGGTACAGTATGTTATGGTTTGCTACCTACACATGTAAACTTAATAAAGAGAACCTTAAGTCAGAAAAATTACAGTTGAATATTGGCAAGTACTATTCCTAAATTATTTTTGTAGGTGCCAGTTCCAGGTCTGTCATCCTTGCTTTGTTACTAGTGTCACCGATCATGGAACTGATTATGATTCGGGTCAACGACTCTACATAGTGATGTAAGAATTAGAGTGACTGCATCGGAGCTTGCTTTTTCACCAACAAGTACGTTATGATAATGATACAAATAGATTATGATTATGATTACGATTATTAAGATTATTATAATCCTATGATTAAAAGCTCAAGATTACTTTTCTGACAGGCTCATTAAAAATGCTGTTCTTTCTTTGCTTTTTATCAGTTTTATGTTATTCCTTGCAGGTCATTCGGTTTTTCACTGTGCTTCTGGGTAGGACTGCATTTTCTTCTTTCTCTGTTATGCCTCCATCTGTAGGTATTTAGTGACACCATTTTTCTCTCCATTGGAAGTCCTGCGCTACTTGCTTTTTAGTGCACGGCTTCTGGCACTGATAAAAAATAAAGTCTGTAGCTGCCCTAAAGAAGAATAAGAGGATTTCCTACACTAAATGACCCCCCCACACTTAACCTTCCTCTACTTGAACACTAAACAAGCCCTTAACAGATAATTCCTAACTAGGATTTAACCCTTAGCCTGTTCCTTCACATCGAACCCCTTCCCCAACAATAAACCTAACATTACAACTACGTTTGCTATTTAGGTAGAAAGATAAGCAGTTGCAGAGTATGAACTTTAGGATGAAAATAACGACTTTCAGATGGTGCTTTTTCACCCTAAGTTAGTTACAATACAAACATTGAATGTTTAACTGATGTGCACCTTCAATAATCACACTACCCACAATATTACATATTAAACAGTAAAGATAAACCTTACCGTCCACAGGTCCCATGGCAACGTCTGAAATTGAAAGGGAGAAAAATTATAATGAAATAAAGACATAATCATATATCATATATACAGCATGTTATAAATGTATTAAGATATAATAAGTACAAAGACACTTATATAGTTGCAGTTGGGATTGTTTTGTTTTGTAGAACATATGATTATAAAAATGTATAATTATACCTTGCCTACTGTAACCTAAACCTGAGACCCTAGCACTGCCATGTCACATAGGCAACCACTAAGCCACTCTCAATTATTCTGTAATCATATGCCCATGTCTGAAAAGGTACTAAATGCCATTACAGAACTAGAATTGTATAGAATTACAGAATTCTATATCAATGCTATTTGACAAATGGCATACCCTTTTAATAGTGTTGTTTTTTTAAAAATAAAAATTAAATTATATTATATTTGGGAGTTTCTAAGTGGAAACTTAAAGCTCAGGACTGGTCTTTTTTATTGAGTAGGAAGTAGTAGTAGTAGTAATAGTTAAATTTACAGATCTCTACATTAGACGTAAAGAAGGACAATTTCAGAGGAAAGATGGAAAGAGGGATTTGGTCCTAAAATAGGGACATTCCTAACTGTTCCTCCTCAAATAGAAGAACAGTTAGAAATATAACAAGATACATTATCACCTGTGAGAAAGTGACAATCCTGCCTGATAAGTCTAAGGGTCGGTGTCAATGGGCTTTAGTTCACTTTAAATGGGTTTTGCATTCCCACACAAGTCTAAGGGATGCTAAAACTGCTTAATGCAGGTCAGATGCAGAGTCAGAACTTAGTCAACTGCAGGTCAAATGTCAAACTGTCAATGAATTTCAAATGATCTTCAAAGCCTCAAACTGATGTCAGACTGATGCCAATGACACAAGCTCTAAGACCTTTGACACAGGTCCTAAAGAAGAATGTATAAAGATTGTACAGCTGGATTGTAACACGTA